CTGCCTGGGGCCCTCTCGAGGGCGAGACTGGAGTGCATGCTGACAGAAGCTGGGGATGGTTCCATCGAGGCTGCGCTGTTTCTGAAGGGAGCGATTCTGGGCGATGTGGGTGGGGACTGCCAGAGCCTCCTGGGCAGAAATTGGTCGAAGGCACCAAGGACAGGGGCCCAGCATCGATTTCCAGGGCGAGACCCAGCGGCGCTCCGAGGAGGTGCCTGGTGTGGAGGGTGGCCTGAGAAGCACTCGCAGAATCCCTGCTGCTGCTGCTCCAGGCTGGCCCACACCTGCCTCAGTTTCCCCATCCTGGGGAGGGTATGTGCCCCTGGCCACAGGCTGCCACAGGGGCAGATGGCGTGTATGTGGGGCACAGGCGGAGGTGCCATTGGCTGCACTCACAGAGCTGGACCCCAAGGGGGAAGGGGCCTGCCACCAGCCTATGCTTACGACAGAGGAAACAGGTCAGAATGCTCGTTCTGGGAGCACAGGCTTGGCTCGGGGGACTTTGGAGGGGCTGGAGCCTGTAGTCTTAGCTAGGGTGTCCCCCTACGTTTGCTCCCACCCAGCACACATTGGAGGAGCCCGGGGGGGGGAGGTCTGCAGCCTCTCCAGGGTGGGACGTGGGCCCCAGCCGTGCGAGCCACTGCCTCCCTGAGCGGCAGGTTCCGCAGCCCCTCCAAGCTGCAGCTGCGTCGCTGCCCCCCGTGAAGGACCCAGCTCCCCAACCTCGCGCTGGGCTAGCCTGCCAGGGGTTGGCTGGCACAGGCTAGACCTCCACCTAGTCATGGAGGACTTGGCGCTGAGGCCCCATCTCTGGTCGCAGGCGTCTGTGAAGACTCTGCCCCCTTCTCCGAGGAGCCAGCGGCCTACTGGATGCTGGGGAGATGCTGGGCTGCTTAGGGCAGCTTGTGGGAGCAATCATTGAGCGCCCAGTGTATGCCTGACACTACACGCAGCACCCTGCACACAGAAGCTCACTCAGTTGCATCTGCTCAGCGACCCTACGGTTTGCAGGAGCTGCCTAGAAGCTGGGCTCGGAGAAGCCCGTGACTTACCCCAGACTACGCAGCCCATGTGGAGGGTGGGCGGGGGCTGGAGTCTCTCCCAGTGCCATGTCAGGCTGCATGCTGGGTGAGCAGATCCCTTCCCGGCCAAGGGCTGGGGATCAGAAAGCTCCCAACACTGCCCCCCACCAGTGAATCCCCCCGCCCACAAGGGACAGGGCAACCAGGAGTTTCCCGGTGAGTGCATAATTTTATGATTCAGAAGATTACTGCTTCCAAATAATGGCTCTTGCAGAATTATGTTCCAAGAGTCAGGTACAGCAATAATGGTCTATTTTTGTTCTTTGCTGCTCTGAAGTCTAACTCTGGAGTTGGAGCACTGGGGGCCGCAGAGCGGGGGACCTGGCAGCCTGTGGAGCCCCTCGCTGGGCTCTGGTCATGGGAGTGGCCTTGGAGGAGCCCTGAGTGCCTCCTCTGAAGCTATGAAGCTACAAAGACAGGGGTTTGATTTTAGCTGCTTGGGAGGCTGAGGCAGGAGGATCGCTTGAGCACAGGAGGTCGAGGCTGCAGTGAGCTGTGATCGCACCACTGCACTCCAGCTCGGGCAACAGAGCCAGACCCCATCTCAAAAACAAAAAATCAAACAGGCATTTGGGAACCACATGTGCTGGGGACCCAGGGCCTGTGTAGGAGATGGACCAGAGCCCGGCAGCCGCCCTCTCCCTGCCCCAGCGTCGGCGGCTCCTCTGTCGGCTCCACCTGACCTCCTTGGTATGGAGGAATGGGCCGGAAGTGCCTCCCCCGGGAGGGCCGCAGCTCAGAGGCCCCTGCAGCTGGGTCGCTGTCCCGTCCGTCTGGACTCCTACGCAGCCTGCGGGCTGTCTCCAGACCACTGTCCTTCTGGAATGCATGCTCCACAGGCAGCCAGAGGAAGCTGTAAACATGGCGTGTTGGTGTTCTGTGCTGGTCCCTGGAGAGCGGAGAGCCACAGGCCCACTGCTGCCCATGGGAGCTCGCTTGCCAGGAGGCCCCTGTCTGAGTCTCCCAGGAGAGGCCTTGATCCGGGTCAGGAGCAGACGCAGCTGGAGGCTCCATCCCAACCCCAGCCCAGGAGCATCTGCAGCAGCAGCTCCAGCAAAACAGAAAATGACTTTTCCCTCCTGGCTGGGCAGTGCTCCACTGGGTTGGGGTTCTAGGGTGGCAGTTCCCTGTCTCCCTCTCCCTCTCCCTCTCCCTCTCCCCTCCCTCTCCCTCTCCCTCTCCCCCCCCCCCCCCCCCCCCCCTCCCCCTCCCCCTCCCTCCCCCTTGCCCTCCCCTCTCCCTCCCTCTCCCTCCCCCTCCCCTCTCCCTCCCCCTCCCCCTCCCCTCTCCCTCCCCCTCCCCTCCCCTCTCCCTCCCTCTTTCCTTCTCCCTTCCCCCTCCTCCCTCCCCTTCCCTGTCTCTCCCTCCCTTCCCCCTCCCCCTCCCCCTTCCTCTCTCTCTCCCTCCCTCCCTCCAACACCCTGTCTTTCTCTCTCCCTCCCCACCACCCCTCTTCTCCCACCCCCTGGGGTCTGCATGGAGGCCCCTGTGCTCCCTTCCTGCTAAGGATTCTGCTGCCTGTGGGAATCCATCCTGTCTGTCTGGCTGGCGTCTCTCAGGGCTGCTCCTGCCCAGATGCCGCAGCCTGTCAGGGACGCTCTTTCATTCCTTTATGCTGCGTGGGACAGGTGCGCTCAGAGATGAGACCCTGTCGCCAGTCTGGGGGAGCCCAGCCAGGCTCTCCCTCTGCCGGGACCCTGCTTCAGCGAACCTTTCAACCGTCTTCCCATTCACCAATTCTCTCCTCAGCCGTGTCCACACGGGAGTTGGTTCTGACCACTTTTGTAGTGTTTTTTTTTCCCACCTAAATGATTGTATTTTTTACATCCAAGATTTGTAATTTTTAAAAATAGATGCCTGTTCATTTTACTTCTTCTTAGACAGAAGCTAAATGTATTTCCTAACATTTTATCCTTGCCTTCTCTGTGGATCCTGCACGGGTTTAAACATAGCCTAAGTGTACCTGTTAGCTTCTTATTTTTATCTCCCCTGAGATGAATCCACGGTCCGCTGGCCCTGCTGGTTTTCTGAGTCGTATTTCTTAGTGTGTTTATGCCACGTGAGCTTGGGGACGTTGGTTTCTAGGTTTGTTGGGGACGGAGGGTTTTCTCTCTGTGGCTGTCAGCCTTGTGTTCTGGGCTCCCCTGTCCCCAGCTCTCCTTTCCTTGTCTACCAGATTTCAGTGGCCTTGGCCCAGCCCCGCAGCCCCCAACCAGGACTGTGGACTTTCTTGGCAGCTGCTGGGGTTGTCTTGTGCTCTGAGGTGCCTCGGGGGTCACGGCCGGTCAGCTGAGCAGGCCCGGGGTTCCAGACGGCACATGCTGGAGTCACCATGGCCGGCTCCACCCCTGCTCAGGCCAGGGTCCCCCAGGGATGGGCCTGTCCCTGGTCTGGATCCTGGGGGGCACTTTGCTTCTCTACTGGCCACCCCCAGAGCCACACAGCTCCAGGGTCAACCTGAATGTCCGGCCTTCCTCCACCTCACTTGTCAGGGGAGGCATTGATCTTATTTTTGAGACAGGGTTTTGTTCTGTTCCCCAGACTGGCTGCAGTGATGCAGTCACAGCTCACTGCAGCCTTGACCTCCTGGGCTCAAATGATCCTCCCAACTCAGCCTCCCCAGTGACTGGGACTACAGGCGTGTGCCACCACACTTGGCTAATTTTTGTATTTTTTGTAGAGATGGGGTCTCACCATGTTGCCCAGGCTGGTCTCGAACTCCTGACCTCAGGTGATCCACCCGCCTCGGCCTCCCACAGCGCTGGGGTGACAGGTCTGAGCCACCGCACCCAGCCAGAGTATCATTTTTATGAATTATTTCACACATGCAGAAAAATACAAAAACAATGTACGAGGTACACACGTGCCCATGGCCTTGAACCCACAGACATCGCCATTCCCCGTCCACCCTTCTCCCCGGCTGAAGCCTTCCCTCCCTCCCTCCCCTGCCCCAGTCTCCCCTGTTCTCTCTCTGGGCCACGTCGGGGGCTTCCAGGGCCCGGGAGGGGGCTCAAAGCTCCAATGGGACTGGGCAGTGTCAGGCAGCTGGACCCCCCAGACGCTGTGCCTCTAACCCACCCACGCCCCCCACCGCGGCTTCTCCCCGCAGCCCCCATCCCCAGTCCCCCCTCCTTTGCCCTGTGCGACTCCTGGGGCTCCGTGTGGCTGCTCTGTGTGGTTTGTGTGTTTGCCTCTCTGCAGCCGCCCCGTGGGGAGGGGCGGTGTCTGCCTGGCCCTGTGCTGTGCCCCTGCCTGGGTTTAGAGATGTCTGTCATTGCTGTGGGGGTGACGGTCCCTGCGCTGGCCTGGCGAGAGGCCCGGCGGCCTATGGGCAGGGTCTACCGCGGTGAAAGCCCCTCAAGCCTGTGGTGGCAGCACCCCATCCAGCCACTTCTTGGGTCGACCTAGCCAGGCGCCATTCATCCCAGGCGGGCAGGGGGCCATTCACCAGCCCCGTCCTTCTCCACTGCCGCCTCTCCCTGTGTGTCCCGGGAGGTGCCGCCCGCTGGGCCTCGGCCCCTTACCTGGGAGACGAGGGCAGCAGCACCACAGGGCAGGCTCCGAGGGGCTTCAGGGAGACGCAGGTGCTGGCCTCAGACTCCAGGACGCTGCAGCCAGGCCAGGCGCCATCTGGGTGCAGGGGCGGCCACAGGGCAGCCGTCGCCGTATCGACAGCAGCTGTCCGTCTGGGTTCCCGGGGCCACCTGCCCACTGCTCCTTCCTCTCCTGGCTTGTTTTCCAAACAATTTACTTAATGTGATTCCTGGCCGAGCTGAACATGACTAATCGTGTTTACCCGGTGATCCCGCGCCTCCCGGCAGGCGGGGCTGGGGCCGGGCTGGGGCCCCGAGGAAGGAATGCCTGCATGTGCCGGTTCAGGGACTCACCACCCTGGCGTCCTCCCTTCTTCTCTTGCAGAGCCCGACGTGCCCCCGGGCTGCCGCCATGGAACCCCTGTTCCCAGCTTCCACGCCCAGCTGGAACGCCTCCTCCCCGGGGGCTGCCTCCGGAGGTGGCGACAACAGGACGCTGGTGGGGCCGGCGCCCTCGGCGGGGGCCCGGGCAGTGCTGGTGCCCGTGCTGTACCTGCTGGTGTGCGCGGCTGGGCTGGGCGGGAACACGCTGGTCATCTACGTGGTGCTGCGCTTCGCCAAGATGAAGACGGTCACCAACATCTACATCCTCAACCTGGCAGTGGCTGACGTCCTCTACATGCTGGGGCTGCCCTTCCTGGCCACGCAGAACGCCGCGTCCTTCTGGCCCTTCGGCCCCATCCTGTGCCGCCTGGTCATGACGCTGGACGGCGTCAACCAGTTCACCAGTGTCTTCTGCCTGACGGTCATGAGTGTGGACCGCTACCTGGCCGTGGTGCATCCGCTGAGCTCCGCCCGCTGGCGCCGCCCACGTGTGGCCAAGCTGGCGAGCGCCGCGGCCTGGGCCCTGTCTCTGTGCATGTCGCTGCCGCTCCTGGTGTTCGCAGACGTGCAGGAGGGCGGCACTTGCAACGCCAGCTGGCCGGAGCCCGTGGGGCTGTGGGGTGCCGTCTTCATCATCTACACGGCCGTGCTGGGCTTCTTCGGGCCGCTGCTGGTCATCTGCCTGTGCTACCTGCTCATCGTGGTGAAGGTGAGGGCGGCGGCCGTGCGCGTGGGCTGCGTTCGGCGGCGCTCGGAGCGGAAGGTGACGCGCATGGTGTTGGTGGTGGTGCTGGTGTTCGCGGGATGCTGGCTGCCCTTCTTCACCGTCAACATCGTCAACCTGGCCGTGGCGCTGCCCCAGGAGCCCGCCTCCGCCGGCCTCTACTTCTTCGTGGTCATCCTCTCCTACGCCAACAGCTGCGCCAACCCCATCCTCTACGGCTTCCTCTCTGACAACTTCCGCCAGAGCTTCCAGAAGGTTCTGTGCCTCCGCAAGGGCTCCGGCGCCAAGGACGCTGACGCCATGGAGCCGCGGCCAGATAGGAGCCGGCAGCAGCAGGAGGCCATGCCGCCCACGCACGGCGTCGAAGCCAATGGGCTTATGCAGACCAGCAAGCTGTGAGGGCCCCGGCAGGGGGGTGGGCGGCCCCGCATCACCCCCAGGTGCACTGCAGTGACCCCCACCCGTGACCTGCCAGTCAGGATGCTGCCCGGCGGTGGTGTGAGGACAGAGCTGGCTGAGGCCAGGCTGGGGTGGACACAGGGCAGAAGGCGCCCCACAGTACCCCCACCCCCTCCAGCCGTCTGCCACATGGCGGGGCTCCCGGGAGGTGGGGGGCTTGGCCGTGCCTTGAAAGTGCTCAGGGCTGCCTCACCCTCCGTCCGGCCCCAGCCCATGCCGGCTTTCCCTCTGGGGAGCGACTTTTCCAGAAGGCCGGCCAGGCGAGAGGGTCTTCCTGACTGCAGGGACTGACCTGCCCGGCCCACCAGCTACCGTGCCCTTGAGTCAGCTCCGAGCCACCTGGTCCACGTCCGGGGCTGCTCTGCTAAATTTAAAGGCACCCGAAAGTGCTTGACGCAGGTCCGCTGGAGTCCCTGGCTGCGGCCCCAGCCCCTCGCTTGCCCTGCACTGTGTGGACTCTGGGGACACGGATGTAAGGGGAGTGTGGCTGGGCAGCCACCGGTCAGCCAGGGTCACGCCCGTCCTGGGGGCCCCACCCTGCTGCCCGACACCCCCCACAGGACTCTGCGGGTGGCAGTTGCTGTCTCAGAGAGGGGAGCGGGGGGGCTTGGGAGTTGGCCCAGCCAGGGGCGAGGTGGGGAGGCGGCCGGTGCAGAGGAGAGCCGGGGGCTGAGGCTGGGGTGGAGGCTCCGGCCCTCCAGGCTTCGGGGGGTGCAGGTGGTTGTGCTGTGCTGGGATTGGCTCTGTCTGGAGGGGTCCAGTGCAGGTTGTGTCTGGGGGCACTAGGGAGAGGGGCTCCTGCTGGAGGAGGACCTCAGAGTCTCGGGGGGCTCTTGAGGGAGGGTGGTGAGGACGGGGAACTTGCAGCTGTCTCTTCTGCTTTGGGACAGGGACTCCGGCCCGGGAGAGGGAACGGGGACAGGAGCAGATGCCAGTCATCCAGGCGCAGTGGGGAGCTGCTCCCCAGGCCACAGCAGACAGCACTGCTGAGAGATGGCGGACGCGTGGGTGACGCAAATGGCAGGTCCTGGGAATCCCGCTACCCCCCACCTAGAATTGTCCCACCTGCCCCACCCCAAACGCCAGCTCCTCCTGGCGCCCCAGGCCCAGAATGTGGGCCCGGAGAGACTTGCTGGGGTCTCTGGGGCACCTTGGCCTCACTCTGAGGCTGGAAGGAGAAGGACCAGGGTGTGGCATCACTCGGCCCCAGGGACCCCACTGCCCTGCCCAGCACTGGCCCCGACCCGCGCTCCTGCCGTCTGCTCAGAGCGGGACCTCGTCCTCCCGGAGGGTGCAGGGTGCGGCTGAGTGGGCACAGATCCTGGCTGGAGAAAGGCCCAGGCGGAGGCCAGGCCTGGGAAACATCTGAGCGATGAGGACACGCGTGTTTGACAACTGCTCCCCTGAATAAACACGAGGATACATGTTTGATCCTTTCCCGAGCAAATATTTTCCCTGGAGCCGGACGCAGCCAGCACAGACCAGAGCGAGTGGAGCCTGGGGTCCCCCGAGGCCCAACACAGGGCCCAGCCCCCGGCCCCAGCCCTGCTGAGCCAGACAAGGCCGGGCTGGGAGCAGCCAAATGCCCAGCAGGAAGCGGGAGGCGCGGAATTAGTGAAGAGGGTGAAAGTGATGGAAGCTGCCTGGGGTCTTAGGCTGGAGCTGCCCCTCACGGCTTCTCGACAGCTCTGGGCGGGGCAGGGTGGGCCTTCTGCAGGGGGTCCACAAAGCTCTGCCTCCTGAGTCACCAAAGAGGGGTGCAGCCAGGGTGCACTGGGGGAAACTGAGGCCCATTCACACCGCAGCACTCCCCCCGACCTGCCTCTCCAGGGATTTGGGTGCCACGTTCATCGGCTCAGAAGGCTTTGGGGACTGAGCAGATGGCTCGGAAATCCCTGCCAAGATCAATTCCTCCAATTGATTTGATGCCAGGCGCTCTCCCCACAGGGCCGGCAGCTACGCGGGGCTGACAGAGGCGCCACAGCCCTCACTCCTGAGGGAAGATGCCCTTGATCCCCAGCCCATTTGGCCCGGCCGGCAAGCCTCGGGCCACCCTGCTCCCCGCCTCCTCCAGCCTGAAGCCCCCAGGACCCCAGTTCCTGTCCATCCCAGGACCCAGCCTCACAGCCCTGCTGAGCTCCCTGGTCTTGTCCCAGCCACACCCAGCTCATGTCTGTGCCTTCGGTCACAGCCTTGTCCCTGTCAGGTGCACACCCTCCCGCAAACCAAACCTGCTGTGCATAGCCTCCTCTTCCCAGACCCCAGGACCCCGCTACGCTGACCCTCTGGGAACAGTGGGCTCGTGATGGCGGCCCCACAGCTGGGCCTGGGACTTACCCTGACTGCCTGGGCTGGCTGAGCCCTGAACACGTGTCTCCACTGGACAAACACATCTGCAGGACACCAGCACGGGGCTGGGTCGAGGGATCAAGGTAGAGCTGGAACAGCACTCCAGGCAGAGGGAACAGCCTATGGGAAGGCTCAGAGGCAAAGGGGCACAGGGGGGTTAGCTGTGGGGGCCAAGTCAGAGAGAGGAGCAGATTCAGGTCCCCCAAGTTCTGCCCCACGCTGCCCCAGGGAAGGACGCAGCTGCACTCACTCCAGCTTGAGAGAGGAGACTGGATGAGAGGCGGGAAGAGGCACACGCAGGGAGTGTGTGGAGGCTGTGAGTCGTCCAGTAGAACACACAGCGGCCTGGCCCAGGGCCGAGGCCCCAGGGGTGCTCATGAGGCAGAGGCAGCCCCTGGCCAGGCCCGGAGAAGGGAGCAGTGGCAACTGGCTGGTTCCAGCTTGGAGCATGTGGGAGGACGAGACCTCGGGGTCTGATGGCCTCAGTGGGCTGAGAGGGCTGAGATGTCTGGGGAGGTCCCAGACAGCCCATGGACCAGGCTGGACAGAGCCGGGGGAAGGGGACAAAGCCTGGATGCCCCCAGGGCACCAGCATGAAAGGCCCATTGGGGTCAGGTGAGGGTCTGGAAGGAGCAGGGGCCCTGGGCCCGTACCTCCTCACCTGCTGGGGCAGTGGGGGCCTGTGGTGGCAGGGGCCGCAGAGCCGAGACCCCTTGCAGGCCACCCGAGAGCCCGGTGGGGGGCATGGCGCAGAGCAAACATCCTGGGCGGGGTGGCTTCCCGGCCTGTGCACATCACTGGGTTTTATTGGCTCTGGGCTCCAGCGACTCCAGTGACCTTGCTCAGGAAACATGCCCGGGGCAGGACAAGGAGGGGGGGAGGGATCTGTTCGCCTGGCAGAGCGGGTGTGGGGAAGGCGGGGCGAAGGCAAAGCAGCCCCCTCAGGCAGGGGGCGGTGTCGTTAGCCCCACAGTGAGGGAAACAGCGGCAGGCAGACCCTCGTCCCAGCCCACCCCCATCAGTAGGGGCGCCCTGGGGCAGGACATGGGGGTCTGTGGAGGGACCTGGAAGGCCTCCTGGGGAGGGAAGGGGGCAGAGGCGACTGTCAGCCATGTGGGGCCCCCAGAAGCAGCCACTGGCCCAGAGCCCTGGGGAAGCCGTTTCCTCCCACCAGATGAGACCCTGAGAGAGTGGGTGGGGTGGGATGGGGAGTGGGACCAGCCGTGGGATCTCGGGGAGGCTGGCTAGGGGAAGGCTGCCCCTAGGACAGACCCCTCTGCCCATCCAAGGCCAGGTATTAGCAGCATGACCAACCCCATGGGTGCAGCAGAGGCTGGCACTGGCCACACTGCCCCATGGAGACCTGCAGCCACCTCAGGCTCTGCACTCCCGTGGGTAGCAGGAGCTGCCCAGGGCCCCTGGCAGGCTATTAGGTGGAGTCAACCTCCTGGGTTCATTCTCCTCTGTCCCCACCCCGTCTTGGCCACAGCAGCCCCTGCCTCTGGCTACGTCTCCCTCCTTACTCCTAACCCCACGTCCACTTCCAGCCCCATTTTATCCCAAACACAAATCTTTTCATGTTCCTCTGCTGCTCACGGGCCCTCTGTGGTTCCCACTCCTCACCCCATGCTTCCCAGCGCCCTGTCCCTGTCCTGGGAAATGGGCGTCATCACATAGTGTGGCTTGAGGAGGGCTCACGAGGACACCATCGGGGCCAGGTGCAGTGGTTCACGCCTATAATCCCAGCAACTGCTGAGGCTGAGGCGGGCAGATAGCTTGAGCTCAAGGGTTTGAGGCCAGCCTGGGCAACATAGTAAGACGCCATCTCTACACAATCTACAAAAATTAGCTAGTGGTGGAGGTGCATGCCTGTCATCTCAGGTACTGCCTGAGGCAGGAGGATTGCCTGAGCCTGGGAGGCGGAGGCTTCAGTGAGCTCTGATCGTGCCACTGCACTGCAGCAAGACCCTGTCTCAAAGGAAAAAAAGGCCCTTTGTGAAGTGAGGGGGTGCAGTGCCCCGGCTGACACCTTGCCTTTATCAGCCTCAAGGTGCAAGGTTTGGGGCAGGGTCATCAGAACCCGGAGATGAAATGGCTGGGAGAGGAGAGGTTACCTGTGAAGCAGAGACAGGGCCTGCTGGGCTCCCCAGTTCTCCCTCCCGGGGCCTGCTGTGCTCCCCAGTTCTCCCTCCCTGGGCCCACTGGGCTCCCCTGTTCTCCCTCCCTGGGCCCGCTGTGCTCCCCTCTTCTCCCTCCCGGGGCCCGCTGGGCTCCCCGGTTCTCCCTCCCGGGGCCCGCTGGGCTCCCCAGTGGCCAAACACAGCTGGAAGCTGTTGGCTTCTGTTTATAGTGGTCGGCAACTCACGTAGAGCAGTGGGAAGGGCGAGATGGGGCCGTCGAACAGGAGACACTGGCCCATCCACCTGAGTCCCTGTTCTGATGTTCACTGCACCAGAGGGTGGCCTGAGAGTGAGGGGATGTCCAGGAGCTGCCTTTGTCCCAGTCGGTGCTCCTGCCTCTCACCCCACTCTGGTGCCCAGGTCCTGCCTGTGGGTGCCTCCCTCCATGGGGGCTCGGAGCTTCAGGAAGGCAGTGCTGGCCAAGCCTGTGCCCTCAGACACCTGGCCTCTCCCTCTTAACTCTGCCTCCAGGAACCACGGTGGGGGCAGGTTCCCTAGAGCAAGTCGGGGCTCCATGGCTGCCGGTGCAGTTGGGAGAGGTTCACAGGAGAGGGACGTCTGGCTGCTGTTCCTGTCCACCTCGCTATGGCTTTGCCCAGCTCTCTGTACGCTGGGTCTGCCTTCTGTGGTCCCCTGCCAGGCCCTGCGCATGTGTTTCCTGAGGGACATGGACCAGGCAGCTTGGAGATGCCTGTGAGCCACACGAGAATATCTAGACACTGGCACTCGCGATGGTGTGATTCCATGATGATTTTTCATTCCTTCCTGTATCTTCCAAATTCTCTATGTCCTCTCAAGTTTTCCTCCTCCATCTGTGCAAGACCCTTGCAGGGCAGGAAGGGTGTCCTTTGCTGTCCTTGGGACAGCCCTTCCTAGGGTCCCATGTTTTAATTTCAGGATTGACACAAAGCAGAAAGTTTTACTTTCATGAAGTCCAACGTGTCATGTATCTCTTTGGAAAATTCTTCCGCTTTTTATCAGTGGGAGGTTTTTTCCCATTCACAGATTAGCCAAATATCCCCATGTATTCTTTTAATATTTTGGTAAAATACGTATAACAGAATTTTACCACCATAGCCATTTTTGTGTGTGGTCCTGTGGCATTAAGGACAGTTACATTGTGGTGCAACCATCATCCCCATTTATCTCCAGAACTCTTTTCAGAATCACAAACTGAAACTCTGTCCTCATTAAACGACTCCCTGTTCCCACCCCCCAGCCCCGGCACCCCCCCCCCTTCTACCTTCTGTCTCTATGAATTTGAGTCCTCTAGGTGCCTCATGAAAGTGGAATCAGACAGCATTTGTCCTTTTGTGACTGATTTATTTCACTCAGTGCACTGTCTTTGAGGCTCATCCACAGAGCATGTGCCAGAATTTCCTTCCTGTTTGAGGCTGACCCCTGTCCCTTTGCATGGATGGACCACATTTGGTTTTTCCATTTGTCATCAATGGACACCTGGGCTGTGTCCACAGTCTGAGTCCACTCCTGCTGCTGTCGTAGAATACCCCACCTCTTAGTGCCATCACAGTGAGCATCAGCCTTAGCACAGGAGTTTTGGGGACACACTCTGACCATAGCACCTACCTTCTGGCTACAGTGAGTAATGCTGCTGTGAACATGGGTGTACATCTCACAGTCACCCATGGGTTTTGTTGGTGGTGGTTGTGTGTGTGTGGGGGGGGGCAGGATCTTGCTCTGTTGCCCAGGCTGGAGTGCAATGGCGCAATCTTGGCTCACTGCAACCTCTGCCTCCCGGGTTCAAGTGATTCTTCTGCCTCAGCCTCCCAAGTAGCTGGGATTACAGGCTCCCACCGCCACACCTGGCTAATTTTTGTATTTTTGGTAGAGACAGGGTTTCGCCATGTTAGCCAGGCTGGTCTTGAACTCCTGACCTCAGGTGATCTGCCCGCCTCGGCCTCTGAAAATGCTGGGACTATGGGGGTGAGCCACCACGCCTGGCCTACCCCACCTCTTAATACCATCACAGTGACTATCAGCTTCAGCACAGGAATTCTGGGGGCACATTCTGACCACAGCAGCTACCTTCTGGCTACAGTAATTCTCTTGTGAACGTGGGAGTACATCCCACAGTCCCACATGGCTTTTGGTGGTGGTTTTGTGTGTGTGCGTGGGTGGGGGACAGAGTCTCGCTCTGTCACCCAGGCTGGAGTGCAGTGGCGTGATCTCAGCTCACGGCAACCCGTGCCTCTTGTGTTCAGGCAATTCTCCTGCCTCAAAGGTTGTAATCCCCAGTAGCCGGGACTACAGGCGCCCACCACCACACCCAGCTAATTTTTGTAATTTTAGTAGAGATGGGGTTTCAGTATGTTGGCCAGGCTGGTCTCGAACTCCTGATCTCAAGTGATCCACCTGCCTTGGCCTCCCAAAGTGCTGGGATGACAGGCGTGAGCCACTGTGGCCAGCTTGTCCCACGTGTTTCTAAATATTGTATGGCTGAAAATTCTTTCATTCAACTGAAATTTGTTTTATCACATTACATGAATTTTTTTTTCTTTTTTTGAGACAGAGTTTTGCTCTTGTTGCCCAGGCTGGAGTGCAATGGTGCGATCTCGGCTCACCGCAACCTCTGCCTCCTGGGTTCAGGCAATTCTCCTGTCTCAGCCTCCTAAGTAGCTGGGATTAGAGACATGCGCCACCACGCCCGGCTAATTTTGTATTTTTATAGTAGAGACAGGGTTTCTCCAAGTTGGTCAGGCTGGTCTCGAACTCCTGACTTCAGGTGATTGGCCTGCCTCAGTCTCACAAAGTGCTGGGATTGCAGGCGACATGCATTTCAAATGAAAATACCCCTCCTTGTGGCTGCCTCTGCCTTCCTGGTCTGTTTCCTGGTATATGAGGTGCCCTCTTGTTCTTCAGTGGTGAGGAACTCTCGAAGTCCCGTCTGCTTGGTGGCCACTGTGTTATGGTCTCGAACAGGGAAAGTGTCCACCCAACACTGAGCTGAGTTTAAATTGTTTAGAATTCTATCCATTCTTCCAGGTTCTCGTCAACATTGCTTTCACAAAAATTTTAAAAAATGGAATTTGGGCCAGCATGGTGGCTCGTGCCTACAATCCCAGCACTTTGGGAGGCCAAGGGTGGAGGATCAGTTGAGCCCAGGAGTTTAAGACCAGCTTGGGCAACATGGCAAAACCCCATCCCTACAAAAAAAAAAAAATTAAAAATTAGTCGAGTGTGGTGGCACGCGCCTGCAGTCCCAGCGACTTGAGAGGTTGGGGTGGGAGGACAGCTTGAGCCTGGGAGTTCAAAGCTACAATGAGTGACTGCGTCACCGCACATCACCCTGGGTGACAGAACAAGACCTTGTCTAAAAAAAAAAAAAAGGAATTTTTACAGAAATGTTCATAGTAGCATTATCTATAATCCATAATAGCCAGGTGTCCATCAACCAACAATGGACAAATAAATGTGGTCCATTCACAGGACAGAATATTAATTGTGTGATTCCATTTCCATGAAAAGCCCACAACAGGGCCGTTCACAGACACAGAGAGGAACAGTGGCTGCCAGGGGGTGGACGGGGGAGGGGGGAGTGACCGCTGAGGGGTGTACATTTCTTTCGGGGGGACGGAACCATCTGGGAACCAGACAGAGGTGACGGCTGAATGTGTCGTGCCATGCAACTGTTCACTCTCAAATGCTCAATTCTATGTAGTATGAATTTCACCTAAACATTTAAAATTGGATTTTTACTGGAATTCCACTAAACGGATAAAGTCACATGGGATAAGCTGCCTCCCACCCCAGTGCTCGCCCGGAATGTCACAGGGATGGCGCCGCGGAAAGCCGTGCTCCCCAGTCCCTTCCTGTGCGGTTGACTCATGATCAAAGCTGGCGCGGGCCAACCATGGGGGTGCCCGGTGTCTCTGGCCTCTACCAAGCGTCCCTCTTTCTGCTCCCACCAGGCGCTGGCAGTGTCCCTCAGGCGATTATCACAGGCAGAGAATGGTGACTTATCTTGTCTCACTTTCAGTTCTCAGTCATTGTTTTTTAAACAAATAAGCCCGGAAGGTTGGCGGGATGCAGGTCCTGCTGTCTGAGGCTCTCGCAGGCATCTCCCCACCCCGGCTCTCCCAGAACCCCGGTCGCCACTGGCGTTCATTAGACACCCCCACCAGCTTCCAAGAGACCTGGCACCCCTGCCCGCCTGACCCCTGCTCAGGCTTCTTAACATCAGCGGCTGCAACTGCCCACAGGCCATGGCGACGCCTGTGCTGGGAGGTCCAGCCTGTCCCTCGGAATGGGTGCCTGGCCTCGGGCCTGCTGTAGTCACGTCAGGTTCTTGGCTGGATCTGGTGACGGGCACCTTCTGGGCTCCCTGGTGCAGGGGCCAGCGTCTTCCCGAGACTCTCTTCCTCAGGACCACCTGCCACCCCAGCAGCACAGGTTCTCTGGAATCACAGAGGCTGGAGACCCCGGGGCAGCTGGGCCAGGGCCAGGGAAGGGAACGGTTGTCTGGGATTCTGGAGGGCTTCCCCGGCGCAGAACAGGCAGCCTGCGAGAGTAGATGTCCTCCCCGGCCCTGGGGTGGTTAGGACCCCTGGCTCCCATCTCCCAGCCAGCCCTGCTCTCTCACAGGGGCCAAGAACCTCTGCATGGCCAGCCAGGACCCCCACCCCCAGCAGCCTATACCCCCTGCCTCTGGTTCTTCAAGCACCTGCCACACTTGACCCCAACAAGCTCCTCCTGGGGATCCCCCCAAGCAGGAACCCCCTGGAGCTGTGCAGTCGACACCCAGGGCTCCGCCCCAGTCCTCCGGGACACCCAGGGCTCGGCTCTAGTCCTCCCAGGTCCGGACTCCCAGGGCTCGGCTCCGGGCAGTACCCACTTTGGACCTGCAAGCCCAGGGCCCCTCACAGCTGCTCCGGGGTCCCTGACAGAGGCCTTTGCACTCCCGCTGCTACACGGGACCTGAGGCCACAGGCAGAGCTGGCAGGGACACGGGCTCTGTGTGAGGTGGGTGGGACGTGGCTGCAGCCCGGCTCTGCCCGCGTGGCACTGGGTGTCCTCACTTGGGAAGGGGCTGAGTGAGCACGAGGCTCCGCCGGCTCCCCGGAGTGCTGACCAGGCGCCCTGCTGCTGCAGCCAAGACCAGGCTGTGGGCTTCTCTCCTGGCCCCTCAGCAAGTGGGGCAGGGCTGGGGGTGTCCAGATCGGGGTGGGAGGCCTGGGGTCTGCCAGTCTTCCCTCAGCCTGCCCCTTCCTGTCCGGGCACCTTTATCTCTAAGGCGGAAGCGTCTGTGCCAAGGCCCCGTGAGTGCCTGGAGATGGCTCCGACCCCTGCCGGTTGCCAGGCGCCCTGGGTGTGTCCTGCTATTCCAGCCAGGAGGGGACTAAGGCTCGGGGCCAAAGTGCAGCCTAAGGCACCGCCCACCTCAGTGTGGGGTGAAGGAGAGGGAAGGTTCCCAGTCCAGCCGCAGCGCCAGTGCCCCCCCTGTCTAGCAGGGTTCACCAGCCCCGGCCACCGGCCCCAGCGCCCCCGTCCGTGGTTGTCACCACACCCAGGAGCCCTGCTACCACCCCCCCACAGACACACAAGGTGGGACTTGAGTACGGGGCCACTTGGGGGTGCTGCGGGGCAGCCTGGCCCCAGCGACAGCCTCAGGGAAAAAGGTGGATGCCGGGGGACTTGGGAGGCAGCAGGCTTGGGCAGTGTGTGGGTGGCGCGGCCAAGACAGAGCCCATCTCGCTGCAGAGGGGCCATGTGGGCACAGCAAATGGGAGTCCCCGCAGACGCCCCTCCTCCTGTCCTGTGCTGTTGAGGGCCACGCTGGGTCCCCCGCCTGCCTGGGGAGTGGCTCCCAGCACACACACACGTGGGTTCTGCAGACTCTGGCCGGGCCTCGGTGCATCCCTCCCGACGGCAGGGCACCCTCTGTCCCAGGACAGGAGTGAGGCGAGGTGGAGAGGCGGGCGCCAGCTGGGGCTCCCAGGGTCCCCACAGGCAGACATCTGTCTGTAAGGAGAGGATGGCATTTCCTGAGGGTGGGCCTGGAAGGTCCGGAGTCTTCACACTAAAACGGCGGCTGTGGTGGGAGACGGCCCCCACCCCCATCTCCTGCCACCCTCGCCCCTCCTCCCCCGGTTCCTCCACTCGACCCCCACTGCTGGTTGCCCCCAGGCCTGGTCCAGTGGCAGGTAGTGGGGACGACTGAGCAGTCGCAGGCTGGGGTGCCGCAGCGACAGGGAGGGTCACTGTTCCCGGCTGCTTCCTCCCAGCCAGGGTGTGCCGCCAGATGGACAGACAAGGTCCCCCTGCCCTAGTGGCTGCAGCCCCTGCCCTCCTACCTCTCTCCTCAGCCGGCCCCACCCTGCAGGGTGCACCCTGATGTGGGGGACTGTCCCCTCACAGACCCTCCCGGGGCAGGCTGTGGACCTAGCTGCTCAGAAATTGGTCAAGACTAGTGGGGGCCCCTATGGGGAGGGCGTGGGGGCAGGGAAGGTCCTGAAGAGGGGGACGGGCGAGCTGGGCACTCCATGGGTCTGGACGTCCCAGGGTGGACAAAGATCAAGGGGCCGTGGGGGCACCTGGGACCCTGCATCTGTTCCGACCCCCACGAGCCCACTCTTGGTGCCTCTGTGGGGGCTCTCCTGCCCCCACCTGGGGATGCTTTATGGACGGCCTTGTGAGGGTTCCAGGCAGCATGGCTGAGCCCGGTGACTCCTGACGCTGTTGCTGCCAAGGCCCAGTGGCCACGCCGCCACAGATAGCACACCAAGGAGGAGGAGGTAGTGGGTGGACAGCCGGGCTAGAGGGGCTAGGAAGAGGGGGAGGGAGGCCCAGGCCGGGTTGAGGTGGTTCCAGAGACAAGTGAGCACGTGGCCGGGAGAGCTTCCGGGAGCGGCCGCAGCTGTTCCAGCTGCTGAGGGTAACGGAGGCTTCCAGTGACCATAGCTGGGCCAGACTCTTGCCTGGAGGGACCGACCCACCCACACTCCCAAACAGGGCCCTCTCTGCCCCCACAACTGCAGCCAGGCCATGTGGACCCGACTTTCATCCCTGTCTAAGCATGAGGCGACTCCGTGGGGGTCTGACGTTCCCCCCAGCTCTGGTGCCCATCAGGGTCCAATCTTCCTCCAGCCCCCACCCATTCAGACAGACTGGGGACCTGTGAGCCCCCAAAACAGGCCCCCCTGCGCTCAGCCACGTGTTTCCCGCCAAGGACAAGCCTCTGCCAGGCCAGCCCCACCCGCCCAGCCACTGTGAGTGCTGGGTGCCCCTAACACTGCCTGGAAGTTACCGTCTTCCTTCAACGCTTTTGGCCTCCCCCGGGGTCCAGCCACACCTGTCAGGTGCTTGGCAAATACCCAAAGTCGAATGAATATCTCCACAGCAGGGGTGCCTGGCACAGCTTTTATAAGCAGAATGGCCCCTCAGCCGTGAGGGCGAGTACCTGGGTGACCAACCGGACCCCCAAGGAGGCACCTGGCTCTCTCCACCACCCGGCCCCACCCACCGCACACTCAGCACCACAGGCCTCCGTCCACGTGGCTTCCTGTGTGCCAGCCCCTGTGAGGGCAGGTGCGGGTCACACTTGCTCCCACCACACCCAGCACTCCACATAGCCCAGTCCCTGCACACAGTCGGCGCTCAACCAATCCCTGCACACAGTCGGCGCTCAACCAATCACAGCACACAGTGGGCGCTCAACCAATCCCTGCACACAGTCGGCGCTCAACCAATCCCTGCACACAGTCGGTGCTCAACCAATCCCTGCACACAGTCAGTGCGCAACCAATCCCTGCACACAGTGGGCGCTCAACCAATCCCTGCACACAGTCGGCGCTCAACCAATTCCTGCACACAGTCGGCACTCAATCACTGCACAGTCGGGGCTCAACCAATCACTGTACACAGTCGGCGCTCAATCACTGCACAGTGGGCGCTCAACCAATCCCTGCACACAGTGGGCGCTCAATCAATCCCTGCACACAGTTGGCGCTCAACCAATCCCTGCACACAGTGGGCGCTCAACCAATCCCTGCACACAGTCGGCGCTGAAGCTCTGCTGCCCCCCACACCCCCAGCACACAGGCTGCGGGGCTCAGCTGCGGGCCCCTCTCCCGGCTACAGCTCGGCGGCCGGCTTGACCAGGTGGCCACTGAAGGTGATGTAGAGGTCTCCGCGCTCGCCGTAGACGGCGTTGTCCTGCTCGCGCTGGAACATGCGCACCCAGACGGCGTCGCCCGCGGCCAGCAGCAGCATCAGGCTCTGGGCCTGCATGACGCTGCGCTCGCTGGGCTGCGCGTAGAGCACGGCCGCGGGCCGCCGGTTCAGCATGATGTGCAGGTAGGTCTCCTTGTAGTTCCAGGTGTGCACGTTGAGGCTGAGGAAGTAGACGCCGGGCACCGTGCAGAGGAAACGACCCGCGGCCAGGTCGAAGGCGCCGTCCAGGTTCACCAGCTCCGTGTCGAAGGGCACCGCCTGGAAGTCGTCGGAGCTGTGCAGGCCCTCGCGCCGGCCCACGGAGAAGGCCGCGTAGGCGCGCTGGCACGGGGCTCCCGGCGGCCCCACCTGCCCCTTCTGGCCTTTCCGGCCCTGCAGGCCCCGGGCGCCCGGCGGCCCCTCCTTCCCGCTCCTGCCGGCACGACCTCGGACGCCGGCCTCGCCCTTCTCACCTGCCGGGAACAAGCGGAGGCCGCGGGTCGGGCGGGGCTGGGCAGGCCTCCCCGATTCCAGGCACCCAGGCTGGGGCTCAAGGGTCACTGTAAGGACACAGTCTTTGCAAGTGACGGCCCCTGTCCCAGCCTCCGTGTCCACTTCTGTAAGATGGGGTGAAGCCATTCTCCACAGGTGTGGCTGGACCAAGGCCTGTGACAAGGCCGTCCCCACTGGGAGGGTGGGGACATGGGTGGTCAGGGCCAGCTACGGTCTGGGTTGGGTGTTAAAGAATGAGAAGGCTGGGAAGTTCCTACCCAAGTCTAAGCTTAGTGCGGCCTGCTGTCCAGCCTTCGGGACAGCGCAGCCTTGTCAAGGGGTCTCAGAGCAAGCGGGCCGCCCAGTCTCCCTTCCCAAGGGGCTGCTACTTTGGGGATCTCAGGAACCCTGGTCCCTCCCCAGGGTCCTCTCACCCCACTTTGGATCGTGGGCCCCTTCCCAAGCCAGCGGCTTCTTCCTGCTTGAGGGGGGAGCCCAGGGGTCCCTGGGCAGGGAGTGCTGCCAGGACAGAGACTGGGGCTCAGCGTCCCCTCCCGCCCTCCTCCCGAGCCCCACGTCCCCTCCCACTCCCTGTGGACTCGGGTCCTGGTGGGGGAGCATGCAGGTGGCACCCACGGGCCTCACCTTTGAGGATTTCAATGTCTATGGTGGGCCGCACACGAGGCAGGCTCCTCCACGGGTCCCCGTCACTCACCCGGGCATAGGGTCCGGGGGGCCAGGCCGGGTGGCAGCAGTGCACACAGGGCCTCCTCGGCAGCCCAGGCCAGGCCCCCGCGGGCAGCAGCAGTGCCAGGAGCAGCAGGGTGGGAGCTGCCATCTCGGCCAGGGCTGGGGGAGAGGGAAGAGGGGAGGGACCTAGAAGGAGGTGCCCCAGCTGGAGCCCCCAGACCCTACGGCGGCCCAGCCCCACCCTGCCCCCATTGGGAATACAGCTGGTGGAGGCGGGAGCTTCTGCCTGGACGTGGACGGTCCTGGCCCAGTGGGTGAGGCCAAGGCCGGGGCTCAGGGGCTGCCGCACTCTGGGCTGCACCAGGCCCCCTGCACACCTGGAGTCGGGGAGTCCTGGTCCCCAAACCTGGGGCCCCCACACCCAGCAGATGGAGGAGAAGCCGTTATGGGACACAGAGTCTCTGAGACAGCCCTCTAAACTCAGGAGCGGGTGGCCACCCAAGGCCCCACCCTCTGACTGGGCAGAGCCCTGGGGCATGGCGGCTGGCCTGCTCCAGGGAAAGGCCCCCCAAAGCTGGCCTGGAGCGGGGGGCCCTGCACAGTGCACGGAGGCACAGTCTCAGCCGGGCCCAGAGAGCCTCTCGTCCAGAGCCCTCAGGGCAGGGCCTGCAGGGCCCTTGGGAGGCCACCCCTCTGCCTCCCCCAGACTAGGCAAGGATGGTCCTAGCTTGGTGCTGAGGGGGAGCCAGAGCCAGCCTGGGTCCCCATGAGCAAGGTGGACCCCCTCCCGACTCTACCAGCAGCTGCCCCAACAAGCCGGTCTCAGTTTCGCCCCCTGCCAGGTGGGCCTTGCCTACCCCACTCCCCTCACAGCCACATCTGGAGGCTTGGCCAGGAGTATCTTCTGCTAGGGGAGGTGCACCAGGTCGGGGTCCTCAATCTTCCCTGAAGATGGGCTCTGCTGGACAAAGATCTAGGCTGCCTCCTTCAGGAAGCCCTCTGGGATTGCAGCACAGGGCAAGGTCCTTCCTCTTGCAGTGGGTCATTCCAGGTGGGTGGAAAGTCTCTGGCTGTTGAGACCCCCTCTGCCTGCCTCCCTGCAAGCTCAGCAGACCCTGACTCACCCCCTGGCCCCACTGGACACCACAAGACCCCCCTGGACTCCTCCAGTGGAGGGAGCCTGGCAGGAGTGGGTGTGTCCACGGACGGAGGCCTGCAGGAGCCCCCACAGAGTTCCCAGCCGTCCCAGCCCCTGGCCCTGCCTGGCAGACAATCGGAGCTGGATCCCGCTCCGCTGGGATTCAGGGGGAGTCCGGCTTGCCCAGGGCGGCTGTGAAGACCCCCACGACCACCCCAGGCCCCGTGCCCCCTGTTACCGTCTCAGGGATTCAGGGATGCTCCCTGCCTGGTCGGCCATCTGCGTTACTGTCCCGGCAACCCAGCCGTCAAAGAGCCCTTTCATGCCCGCCCGGGCGCCTGTGGCTTCCTCTGGGCCGTCCAAGACCAACAGGCTGAGAGGCCAGCTCCGCCGGGCTCCGGACAGGAGGCTGGCAGGGCCCCACGTCCACTGTGAAGCCTGCTTCGCGGCCCCAGGGTCCTCCCGCCAGCCTCATGCCCGTGAGTGGGGCTGGGGCCCGGCGTCTCGGCCAGCTGGGTCGCGGGATGGTGCCGTGGGCACGCGGCTCTCCTCCATCAGGAAACCAAGCTTGCTGCCCGCCTGGGGTGCGGCGCCCTGAGGAGAAGCAGGGAGGTGGAAGCTGCGGTTGGGCGGGCCTGGCAAGGGGGCTGTGGGCCAAGGCCAGTGTTTGGGCCCAGACCAAGGCCTCCATGCTGCACGGGGCCCTCCTGGCCACCAGGCCCCCCGGTGACACACAGCCCTCACGCTGCTGGCGGGCAGGCCAGGCTGGACGGAGCCCAGGAGCGCAGTCTGCCCAGGCTCCATGGGGTCTCTTCAGTCCCTCATGACACCCCTGGGGAGGCCCCGCACCAGCCCTGCCTCTCGGCGGATAAGGACTGGGCCGGACCACTTGCGGGAATGACTCCTAGGCCTCCCAGGCCTCAGCGGGCGGGGGCTCCATTCTCTACAGGCCCCAGGCCAAGCCACACAGCACCCTGGCCGCGTCCTGCTCCGACCCTGGGCCTCTGGACACAGACACGCGGCCATTCCCCACGGGTCCTTCCTCCACAAGCCGGTCCCTGTTGCGGGAGGCGCTGGATGTGGCAGGAGAATTGTGGCAGCCTTTGAAAGCAGACTGCAGGCGGGGAGGGGCCCCGAGCTGGCTCGGTCCCCTTGGCAGATTCGTGTGCGGCCTGGGGTCCCGCTCTCTCCACAGCCCCTCAGCCTGGCCTCACCCTCAGCACCCCCATGCTAAAGACCAAGGAGGAAAGGAGGACAGGAGGCGAGGGGAGACCAAGGGGTCCCACCTGTGGGGGTTCGTGTGCCAGGCTGCGGGCAGCAGTGGCTGGGGAGGGCTGTGGTGGGGGCTGCACCAACTGTGGCCGGTTCCAGGCTCCCCCTCCAGCTGGGCCTGGGCCGTGACAGCTCACCCTTGGCAGCCGCACCCACCAGGCCCAGCAGCCCCCTCTGGGGACAGCCATCTTCACCCTGTTGGCTGTGGCTGCACAGATGGGGTGTGAAGACCTGAGACCCTGTGACTATAGTGCCTGCAGCCCACCGAGCCGGCTCTGCGTAGCTGTGACCCGGGTGGCGAGAACACAGCTCTGCAGGTGCGTCCCAGTGGGACAGAGCGGGGCTCCTGGGGCTGGTGGAGAAAGATGGGCAGACGCCAACACTCCACCGCAGCCTGGGTCTGAGCTTAGCCTCCACGCCCGTGAAATGGACACCCCTGGAGCTCAGAAGTGTCCAGAGCATCCCTGAGGCCCAGACACAGAGAAGCTGAGTCCCCTCCCTGTGCCCCTTGGAGCCCCCCGACACCAGCAGAACTGCCCCCCAAAAACAGATGGGTGTTCCTGGCAGTCCCCCTTGTTGGGGGCAGGTCCCGGAGCCTCCCCAAGCACAGGGTGGGGTGGAAGGAGGTTGAGGGGTGGGTGAACGGCCCGGGAAGGGTGCCTTGGGGTCCTTCAGGTTCGGGTGGCCTGGGATGACCCGGCCTGGGGAGAGTCCGTCTGGGCAGGCGGCTGGCGGGGCCGATGCCCGAACCACTGTGGCACAGAAGCTGCAGGCCGGGCCTGAGTGGGGTGGGCAGGGAGCGAGGAGGGTGACTCAGTGGGGCAGGACAGCATGTCTCCTGGACAGAAATAGCCCTGGCCAGGCACGACCGCGGCATTGCCGTGGCGACGGGGGAACGGCTGCCGCTGGGCGCCCTGGGGCCCGCCCCCCACAGACACCCAGCAGTGTCCCAGGAGGGCCGCCCCCTCTCCGTGCTGCAGGCGCTTGTGCCAGTGAGGTGCAGGTGGGGGTGCCAGGGGAGGGGTCTCAGCAAGACCCCCGACTCCACCCCCCCTCCCAGCCTTCAGCTCCCTGCTGTGCAGACTGGGGCCTCCTGGATGCAGGGGCTCACTCGGCCCCCGAGAGGGGTGGCCAGTCTTTCTAAAGGAAGGCGTTTGGGGAGCACCCAGAAAACGGAGAGGGCTCCATCCATGGGGTTCAGGATTTTACTGTTCGACTGCGAAAGTCTGGGGTTCCTTTTTCAACACAAAGTGGGCGGCCCCTGCGTGCCCCAGTCTGGTAGTCTGCAGCCTCCCTGCGCGTGTGGGAGTGGGGAGGTCAGGAAATTGGGGGCGGGGGTGTTGGCCCCTCTCCAGCCCGGGAGTCGCACCCATCATCAGGCTGCAGTCACCAGCCTGGCCCTGGCGTGGGAGCACAGTGGGCGCAGGCGCAGGGACCCCTGGGCTGTCTCCCCAGCTGTAAAGTGCACGTGAGGCCCAAAGTTGGAACCCGCCTCGTGCTCAGAACAGCTCCTGGCTCTGTGTTCCCAGCTTGGTGCCACCAGCCGGCCTCGGAGACTCCTTCCAGTCTTCCCCTTCCCCCGGCCCTAGGCTCCCCACAAGCCACCCCCTCCCGGAGGGGACAGGGGGGTCTCAGCCTGATGAGGACCTGACAGGCCTGAGCGCTGCCTGGGCCTGGGCGATAATGAGGCCTGAGTGCGGGGCCGGCGTGGAGGGACCATTATCTCCCAAGCCTCTTAATGGCCACTGGCCGAGAACGCGTGACGAGCCACCACGTGGGAGGCGACAGCAGCCAGAAGCTCCCTGTGGGGCTGGAGCGGGCACGGCACAGGGACCTTACACCCACGGAGGCTGGCACCGGGTCTGAGCTCCACCCAGAGCCCTGGATGCAGGATGGGGCAGTGCCAGGCCACCCGTCCTGCAGCAGGCATGGGGCTCTGCAGCCGCCACTCACCACACCCTACCCCTCCCTGGTCATGGTGTGTCCCAGGCGGCAGGGAGTGAAGCCCCTACCCAGGCTTAGGGGCCTTTGAGTTCACCAGCTTCTGCCTGGCTCCAGGCCCCCCCGTGCCAGGGGGACTGCAGAGAGGCGGTTCCTCATCCCCCCCGAGGTCACCGCCCCAGACCGTCTGGTGCCCTTGAGCAGCTTTGAGGGGCTGTGTGCACAGGACATGAGCTGCCTGCAGCCCCCCGGGTGAGGGTCCACGCCGGGGCCTCTTCTCTGCTCCTGGCTGCCAAGACCCCGTGGCAACAGCACCCAGAGTGAATTTTAATGGCCCCAAAGAATGAGAGCCGGGCCCCGGTTGTCGCCGTGGTGACCGGCGGCTCCTAACGAATGGCATGGCTTCCACGGTGACGGGAGGTGACATTTTCTCTGGAACAGCCTGTGCTGGAGAGAAGGTTCTGGAAGCTTCTGGGCCCACCTTTCAGGGTCAGGGTCTGCCCCTCTGGGAGGGGCCAGTTGGGCAGACGAATTGAGGAATTCCTCAATTCCTCAGTGGAAGGGGCACAGAGAAAGGGGCACAGAGAAAGCCCCTTGCTGTGTGCCCCTCCACTGGCGCACGCGCCCTGTGCAGAAAGCTAACATGCTCTTTATCTGGGAGACGGGACAGAAAATGCAGGATGGTGCCTGCAAGGTGCCAGCCGCTTACTGGCCTCCAGGCAGCTGCAGGACGGTAGGGGAGCGGCGCAGTAGCTGTGCACGCCTGGCGGCCGACGTAGAGGCTGCTGGTCTTGACA